AAAAATAATTCAAAAAATGAGGATATTTTAGAGGGCCTCTAGGACAACATCAAGCTTACCAATATTTCCATCACAGAGGTACCAAAAGGAGAAGAGAGCAAAGAATTGAAAACCTATTTAAAGAAATAATGACAGAAAACATCCCTAAACTGGTGAAAGAAATAGACATACAAGCCCAAGAAGTGCAGAGAGTCCCAAACAAGATGAACCCATAGAAGTCCACACCAAGACATATTATAATTAAAAATGCCAAAGGTTAAAGACAAGGAGAGAATCTTAAAAGCAGCAAAACAAAAGCAATTAGTTACCTACAAGGGTGTTGCCATAGACCGTCAGCTGATTACTCAGTAGAAATTTTGCAGGCCAGATGAAATATTCAAAGTGATGAAAAGCAAGGACCTACAGCCAAGATTACTTAAACCAGCAAAGCTATCATTTAAAATCAAAGGACAGATAAAGAGCTTCCCACACAAGAAAAAGGAGTTCATCACCACCAAACCAGTATTATAAAAATGGAGGAGGAGAAGAGGGTGAGAGGAGGGGGAGGAGAAACAATAAAAAGATCAAAATTATAAATAAGAAAATAGCAGTAACTACATATTTATCAACAATTACTTTAGATGTAAATGGATTAAATGCTCCAATGGAAAGATATAGGTCGATAACGGATAAGAAAGCAAGACCTTTACATATGCTGCCTACAAGAGACTCACTTTAGATAAAAAGACTCACACAGACTGAAAGTAAAGAGATGGAAAAAGATATTTCATGAAAATGGAAAGGAAAAAACAAACAAACAGACAAGAAGTTGGGGTAGCAATACTTATACCAGACCAAATAGACTTTAAAGCAAAGGTTATAACAAGAGACAAGAAGGACCAAGTAATTCTACTTCTGGGTGTTTATCCGAAGAAACTCAAAACGCTACTTTGAAAGTATATGACATGCATAGGTTCATTGCAGCATTATTTACAATAGTCAAGATATGAAAGCATACTGGGTGTCCATCAATGGATGAATGAATAAAGAAGAGGTGATACATATACACAATCAAATATTAGCTATAAAAAAAGAATGAAACCTTGCCACCTGTAGCAACTTGGATGGACCTAGAGAGTATTGTGCTGAGTGGAGTCAGACAGAGAAAGACAAATGCCATATGATTTCACTTACATGTGGAATCTAAAGAACAAAATAAACAAAACAGAAATAAACTCATAGATACAAAGAACATTTTGATGGTTGCCAGATGGGAAGGGGGTTAAGAAGTAGATTGGTAGTCACAAAATAGTCATGGGGATGTATAGTATAGCACAAGGAATATAGTCAATAATATTGCAATAACTATGTGTGGTGTCAGATGGGTGCTGGATTGATCGGAGCCATCACTTCATAAGTTACGTGAATGTCTGCCTATTACGTTGTACACCTGAAATTAATATATTGTATGTCAACTGGAATTAAGTTTTTTAAATTATTTAAAAACTTTGTTTATAAATTTGAAATGATTTGATGTCATGCCTCTAATCTAATAACTCTCCCACTTGATGCAGAGTTACAGTGCTTGTCCATGACCTTGGATAGACTTATGCTGCATATGTAAATTCTCCTTATCATGTGAGAGTTGACTTTCTCTTTCTCATCTTTTGAAAGATCTTATTTAGGAACAGTTGTCATTCCCTTTCAGGGCCAAAAAAAAAAAAAATACAAAACGGTATAAGAGGATCAAGGAAACATTTTTCCTTTGCCCTTTTGGTGTGGGCTAACCAGAAACATTTCAAATAGCCAATGATGTAATGGCCTTCAATCCAACGACAGGCCAACCTCCTTCTTGTACATCTTTATGAACATTTGTGACTCTGTGTGAACATCTGCGCATACATCAGTGTATGTAACTTCATGTGTCCCAGCATGTCTGTTTGCATCCTGATGTAACATCTGTTAAACTGCAGTGCTAAATAACCGGTTATTGCTGTGGCTTTAGGGCTAATTCTGGAGAATATGGTGCAATCTCCATTTAACACAGGTGGGTAGAGATAATAGGAAGATGGATGTCTATGGAAACAGTGCATTTCCTTGAGATCATTTTTAATTGTCCAGAGAGAATAGGTCATACCAAAGCAATTTAGCCTTTAATCACTAAAGGCACTATTTGGAAATGTTCTGCCCTACTCCTTTTTTTCTGCTACTCTGATTTTTTCTGCCAATTGAAGCCAGAATAAATACTTACAGCCTAAGACCTAAGTCCCAGAGAATAGTCTGAATAAAGAAAGCTTGTCAGGGCTTTCACTGCAGCCTTGTTACATGCAAAGTGTGAGCCTCTCCTATTGCTTCGCTTTCAAACCTGAAGGCATCAAAGTGGCAGCCAGGTCATCTTTGCTTTAAACTCTCTTTTCCTCTATTGTCAGCCTCTACTATTTCTCACCTTTTTAAAAATTAATTCTTCAGAAAAATCTTACTGTAAAGTTGGCCCCAAATGGTTTACTTTAAAGAATGGTTTTAGTGCTCTTGTTTAAAGTACCATCCTGTAAAGCCTTTATCATTCTTGATATGAATGGGTCATTCTTCATCTGCAGATAAAAGTACCAGACACAGGTATCACCTGGGGTGGGAAGGAGGAGAAGTACTCACGAAATGACTGGAGCCTGGCTGAAGGAGAGTCCCCTCTTAGTTGGAGAGTTGGTGATTCTGTGAAGTGGAAAATGCAAGAGGAAACTTTTGGGCCTGAACATCAGTGACCCCTAATATTCTCCTAGGCCTAATACTTACCCCCACCCTCAAACCAACCAACACTCTCCAAGACACATGTCACCAAACACTTAATAATTTTTTTCATAAGCCTTTAATACTAAAATGCATTAAATTTTTGAAGCAGAGAAAACACATTTAAAGGGGAAACAGAGAACCACCAGATAAAAGGAAACAATGTGGCAGATAACACCATTTAAAACATAATTGTAATAATTTAATAAAGCTGCTTTATCATCTTCATAAAATAGACAGAGTGGTGATTCTTTTTCGTCTTTTTTTCTTTTACAATGTTTCAATCACTGTGAAAATGTACATAACATACAGATCAGCATATACAACAATTTCATCTTCATATAATCAGCAACAGAGACTGCTTAATGAGACATACTGCACTTGCATCCCTCTAAATTTCCACCCTGGTTTGACAGGTAAACAGTAATAGTGTCATCAGGCTCATTCCCCTCACTAGAGGAGCGAAGGCAAAAGCCTTTTGCAACTAATACCTTAGCATTCAAATAGCACACAGAGGTATTTGTTGCTGAATTTCTAGCTTGAGCTAGTCTGGCTCTTGGTCATTAAAGTCTGTATCCTAGCCTTCCACAGCTGAATGCCAGCCAATGCCAGTAAAAATTTACTTAACCAGTGCCGTATTGGTGTTAGCTGGTTTGTTTGCTAAGGTTGACAGCAATTTTCAGTTAGTAGCAAGGTCATTTTTAATTGCCAACACAGCTGGAGCAACAATCAGCATCATTAGTTTTCCCTAATGACATACAGTGCTTTCCAATCAAGATCAAGTTTTTGTGGGTTGTTCTTTACCAAGAGCGCCTCACAACATATCTTTCAGACAAGGTGGTTGATTTTCTTTGTTTTACAAAAGCATTATGAGTTCTATTTGAAATTAATTCATTTTTGCACAACAAGTGACCCACAGGCCAATTCCAGCCTCACAAGCAAAAAAGAGAGCTGCAACAACTTCATCAGGACAATGTGTTTTGCTCTGGAATATTTCATTATCAATATAAAGCCACCCAGTCCCACCCCCACATATCCCCTTTGATTATTACTTTGTTACATACTTAAACTAAAGAACAACATCTCAATACACTTCAGTGTCAGCAGATACAATTTGACTCATGAAATGACATCCTTAAATGTAATCTTACCAAGAAGGCAAACACTAGGACTGTATACAATGGACTTCTTAAGCTCATTTATGCCAATTTTTCAGTCATTTAGGGTCTTATTATCCTAGGTAAAGAGCCAAGTGGAACAGACTTGTCAGGATGTTTTGGGGAACATTCAGCATCAAAATGATCCCCATAAAGTAATTGGAATTCCAGTCAGAACTTCTATTATGTACAATAATAATCATTTTCCCACCCTGGATGCCCAGTCGAGCTATTCCTTATACCTCTGCCTCTCCAAAAAAAAAAAATGCTCTTTGTGGACCACTTTCGTTTTGCTCATTAATGATATGATAGAGCTATATGAAAAGTTCAACTGACTTGCCTTCATACAATCAATCATATGCTGAAGTAACACTACCATGATGATATTCTGGGTGGTACCAGTTTTCAGTATTCTAAGTCATATACCCTTTAACATTTTTGGTTAGTGATCAATAGGTCATCATGTCAATGAATTAGTTTAAATAAGCACCTTAAGTGCAATCAGCTCTTTTAGGCAGATTTCCTCTGAAGCAGAGATATTCAAAGTGTAGTCCCTGGCTAGCTGCATTAGCATCACCTGGGAAATTTTAAATAGGCAAAGATTTAGGCTCCATCCCAGATCTACTAAATCAAAAACTGTGGGGCCACCAAACTGTGCTTTAACAAGCCCTCCAACTTTAGTGGGCATCTGATCCATATGGATTGTTAGGCCCCACCCTCAGAGTTTCTGCTTCATTTGGTCTGGGAGAAGACAGAATTATCATTTCTAACAAGTTCCCAACTGATATTGTTGCTGCTACTCCAGGGATTACACTTTGAGAACCAGTGTCCTTCAGGTATTATAGGATCCCTTGGCCCAATACCTATTTGGGCAATAAGGTGAGCCATGCTTTACTGGCTCTAAGAGGATCAAAGGGATGGTAAGTTTCATTCTGAACAGATTCCAAAATTAGTCAGTATAAAAAAAAAAAAAAGAAATTCCACATAGCATGGTTCCCCTCTCCCTATATTCCTTGTATATAGTACAGTCCCATACTTGAGGAAAAGCAATCAATCAATGCAGACTAAACCCTTTACAACTCATGAAGTTTACTTGCCTAGGGATGTGCCCGAAGTGGTTGTTAGCAAAGCAAGTCATATTTCAACATCAACTCCTCCCCAAAAGGGACAGCAGAATAAATGGAATAGAACTCCCCGGTATTTTGGAACTGAAACTGCTCCCTCATATTTAAATGAGTAACATGTTTAGAGAGGGAAAAGGAAGAATATTTGGCCCTCTAGCCTTTGTGACTTTTCATCAGACGTGTTAAAAAGAAAGAGTGAAACATACGAGCCAAAGGGAAATTTAGGATCCTTGCACACACCTCCTATTTGCAGGCACAGCCTATCTATAAAACCAGCTTACAAAGCCCTCATAGAATGCACTTGTGCTTCTGGGAGAATGTATACATTAGACAATTATAGAGAAAAAAAAGTTATTTTCTTAATGAGGGGAATTCTCTGAACATGCTCAATAAAGGGTCTGGAAGCCAAAAATATCTCTGTCTGCCCACCAAGAACAAAGTATTTTGATAGGGAAAAAAAAAATAAGATAAGTTTGTAGCTAGAAACTGAATTCTGAAAAACAAATGGAGGAAGAAAAGACAAGAGAAAAGTAAAATCAATGCTACAGCTATTCTAACCATTTTAAATTTAGCTGGTAAGAAGTACAGTAGCCAGTGGCCTCTCTGGCTCAACAGCCACATAATATTCCCACTTGCCACAATCATTTCAACTTCTTCATTCTCACTGAGCATTGTATGAAATACACCTTACAAAAACAATCAAATTTGACTTGCAAGTGATCTTGAGGTGGTAGCTTACAACATAATATCAGGATGGATCAGTTGAGGAACAATCTAAATTCTATGGTCAGCCATTATAAAGTTAAATGAAAAAAAATGATTTTAATGTGTTAATCAAATAATAACTTGCAAACAGAAATATCTACCTAATTCAAAATTTACTAATAAAAAAAATGAATCAAAGGGGAAAAAAGAGTGCATGAGAAAAAGTGAAATGAGCCAAAATGTAGATGTCATGGTTATTGATCTCTAATTGTTTCAGTTTCAGAGGGAAATTTGCAGCCACACCAATATTTTGCATGAGGTAGTATTCAGCACTGAATAAGAAATAAAGATAAATTTGTAGCTTCATTATAGGTTCTTTTTCAGAAATATTCTCCCCTACCTAATCCCATCCTTACTGCCTTACCCCCCCCCCCTTATATCCCTCCTCCCATCAAAGAAAATATTCCTAGTAATGTATAAAGCCAGGAACTCAGGCAAAAATAACTAAAACATTTAAAAGAGCTGACTTACCTATCTACACTTAAGAAAATACATTCTCTTCTGCATTCTAGTGCTCTAACCTCTGAGCCTTTTTTCTAGATACTCTTGAATTTCAAAAAATGAAACAAATGAGAACAGAACCACAAAACTTGTTTCTGTAGAAACAACTCTTTTAAGATCAAAGCAGAGCAAAAATGACATATTTGTTTACTTTTAAATAACAAACTCTTAGGCTGCAAGAATACTATGTTGGCTATTGAATATTAATAGACGATTAATAAACGAGGGAGTTGGAAAAATGATAAACAAAAAAATGTGCATAACAAACTTGTTAATAAAAAAGGTGTATTCCTAGCCTACAACAGTTAACTAAATCTAAAGAATTTTTAATATTTTCCTGTTCATATTTTTAATTTTATAAAAGTATTAGTCATAAAAAGACGAGTTCAAGTGTCCAAGTGTCTCCATAGGGAAGGCACAGTAATTAGATTAGTGATGTTGTTACCTGTTACCTGTCTCTTCCTAAATGTATACTTTGTACTGCTTACTCTATCTCAGTTATAATTCTATGATACAGAGCAACATGAAGTCCTCAATTCCATGACATGCTTTGTAGTATAATTCTAATTGTGACTGGGAAACAGAATCAGGAAGTGTGTGTCTAAAAAGATGTTAATTTAGATCTCAAAATAAATTCAGTCTTTTTGGGTTTTAGATGATTGGAGACAGGGAATTTCTAAGCCTGGAAACTGATAACTTCAAGAACAACTTTTGTTCAACTTTACTGAAAATTAGAAAAATTGATCTCATAAAACTTTCAGCATAGTATTTCTGACAACTGCAAATTAGATAGCAGAATATCCAAAAATAACTTTCTGCAGTGATCTATTACAGATCTGAGCAGAAGACTGAAAGGCAGGCAAAATACTCTGCAAGGTGGTAAGCAATCACTACACAGGTATCTTCCAAGAGTGAGTACCCTCCACGTACTCATTCTATATGTGTGGTGTTGCTCATTTATTTGCGATCTCAGTTGTTTACACTTTTGTTTTTGTCTGTAGTTTTATTTATTTTTTTAAGAAAAAAAAAAACACCAACCTCTAAAAGCCTTTGCCATCACCATACACATAGCAATTTGCAATATCAAATACAACAATAGCATAGCTAGCAAAAGGATTCTTAAAGCAGGGGTATCCACAGCAAAGTAGCGGCATTGGAAAGCACTCAAGCTTCAGAAACAACCTTTTGAGGGCTTGTTTTCACATCACTGAATCAATGAATAGTACACAATAAATGACCATTAACTTGCCTACACTACAAATCAGTGGCGAGCTTATTAAAGGTGTCCAGAGCTTTTTTTTTTTTTTGCTTTTTTTTTAAATGTGATCCTCCACAAACAATGGTAATTTATAATTTAGACATAGAAAAATATATAAATTCAAATACTTAGTACATAATACTTTTCACAACTGAATTTGTCTGTTTCCCCAACATCAAGGCCCCATGAACAACTCAAGCCAAAGCTAATTTGCTCCCACTGAACACCCCCACTGCCTGTTGAAATGAGAGGGATTGTCACAAAATGATAGTCATTTGTAAGCAATAGATTTAGAGAAAGCTCTGAAATAACAGCCACTCAAGAACCAACTATTGGTGAGCAATTAAAACAATCAGCTCCTGCTTCTTCACTAGCCATTATGATTTCTCTCCTTTCTTCTCCAAGACTGGTTTAGAGAACTATATCCTTCAGACGCTTCACACCAGGAGACTCTTTGTCATGAACCTCCTTCGGAATGGGGTTGACCTCATGCATGACTTTCTCACTGTCAGCTCCACGGGGCTCAGCCTCAGAGGGACGAGAAGGGCCATTGTTGACATACTGCTCCAGATCGCGGGCTGGCGGTGCCAGGGAAATGGTGTAAGACACAGAAGGCTTGGTGGGCAGAGGGCTCTTGAGGTGCAGGGGGGAGGTGACAGGGCTAATAGCTTCACAGCCATTGCCCGCTTCCCGGATAGCGCCATTGACCTTAGGGCTGCAGATGGTCACATCAACAGTCCTCCTGCCTTTCAGGGTGTGCCTCTCCTCAGCTGGGTGATCGCTGACATCTTTTCCAAAGGTTGCGAAAGTCCGCTTGGTGGGGCCACAGTCATCATAAGCCTCAACATCTGCAGCAGTAGCTTCAATGGACAGCGCGATGATGTTCCTCACATGCTCAGGGGACTTGGAGCGGGTGGGCATGGGATTCCGGGGCATCCAGCATCTGTCAGAGTGGCCAAGAATCCGGCATTCTTCTCTGCAGTGAAATCCTTCGTTTTGATCTGTTTGGAGAAAATAAAATGTTAATTTCATCATCGGAATTTCCCTGGAATAATTGTTACTCCTCAATGTTCTGGTTTCTTAGGTACCCATAGGTGCTTCTGGGAAATGGCACTTTTGATAGTCCTTTATTGCCTTTTGGGACAAGTGTGAAGAATTGGATTTTTAAAAAGCTGTAGATCTCCTCCCGTCTACTCCTCCTCCTTTTTTTATTATTTTTATTGCTGTTTCTACCGCTGACAAAACTAAAAACCTAAAGGGAAATGCATTATGATGAAAAATATATATTTAAGAAAAATTCACCCTGAGTATCAAGGTCCTGAAAGTCAGCACTTTTATCAACAATTCCTAAAAAATCAACTGTGTTTGAATGTGGTTCCAGCAGAAGAGGAAGTAGAAGCAGAGCAGAAAATATAACTGTCAGTATATCTGAAAAGTTTTGGCCATATTTTGAGCAACAACACTGCCAACCACGTTTCCACCCTACCTGTCAATGATACAGTTTAATTTTAGGTTGGTATCATGTTGTCTTTGATATCACATCACTTCTTTTTGACCACCAGTCCCACCAGCCAGTCTCCTCACCAAGTGATTTACATAACTTGATTCCCCATCAGAAGGAATATACTTCCTTCTGACCCATAAGCTTAAATTGGTCCTATGCACATATCACTCATAGGTTGAACATCATTTACTTACACCCAACTATCCATCCCTCCTTATCTTCTTTATCTGCAGTTTTATTAGGGTCATATTTCTTAAAATAATCTTCCATGGATTACTTTAGCCCTATCATAGGAAATCTCAGCAATTAGAGTTCATAATTATTGATGAGATATGTATTTCTCTTTTCATATCAGGTTAATTTAGGGTTAACTTCTGCCTGTCCATAGGAAGAACTGTTAATCTCAATGTCTGGTTTATACCCTAGTTTTCCAGATCCATTTATATTTATTTATATACTTGCATGAGGTTGACCTAATGGAAATTTTCATCACATTGCAGTATATCAAAATATGAGCAGCTTAACATTTATAAAACACCTTGGAACAGGATTGGAGGAGGTGGGGAGACAAGGAAGGATTGCAAAGACAAAATACATGTCTCCAAAAAAGTTGGAATATATGCTATGATTGTACTTTTGCAGGGGGAAGTCTGCAATTCAGAGTCTTACGTGATATTAGTCTACATATAACATGCCTTCCTTATATGCTTATAGTTTCTTTGTTTCTTGATTATTTTCAAAGAATAAATGGCATAGAAAAGAGTCATTGCTCTGCCTCATTCATCAAAGGTTATTTTGGCAAAGGGGTACATGGAAGGATGCTCAAGAAATAATGGTTGATTTGGATGTATGCTTATCATTTGGAGAAAAGGCATTGGTAACAGCTAAATGTCAAGGCATAATGCACGCTGAATCCAGATTTAAACACAATTCTGGGAATGGTCTTTGACCTAGTTTAAACTACTGAAAAGCCAAACAAAGGTAATATTTCTTCCATGTACCTGGACATAATTTGTTAATTTATATTTAAGATGACCATTTTAGCCCCATTTCAGTGTTAGAGAATGAAACACTCAGAATTTTTCAGTTTGGAACCAAATAACAACTGAGCATTATCACCAACCGGATAAATGTCTTCCATATAAATAAGACTATGTTTCTACAAACTCCAACAGAGTTCCACATCAGGGGTGCACGGCCTCTTCTGCAAAATGAAAGGTTTTTCAAAGCACTTTCTCTGCCTCTACCCTGCAAACTTCAGTGATGCTATCTATCTGATAGCCTATCATCTTATGTTCCTGGGAAGCAAAAAGCATGAAAGCAAGGGAAACATCTTAGGACATACTTAAGATGTAGACTTAGTGTAGACTTAAACGGTATGAGTGGAAGAGTCTATGGCTGATCCACCAACAATCAGTTTTATCCATATTTTGTGCTTTCCCCCAGAGGCCCAGGATTTCTCCAGTAGAACAGAATTCACATCTTTAAAATTTTCCAAAAAGATGTTTATTCCTCTCTAACTTCTGAGACCCATCTCATAACTTTCCAAGTAATAGCTCTAAAGAATTAGTATGAGGCAACCTGGGTGTCCATTAATGAATGAATAGATAAAGAAGAGGTAACACACATATACAATAGAGTATTAATCAGCCATAAAAAAGAATGAAATCTTGCCATCTGCAACAACATGAATGGACCTAGAGGGCATTGTGCTGAATGGAGTAAGTTGAACAGAGAAAGACAAATGCCACATGATTTCACTGAGATGTGGAATCTAAAGAACAAAATAAATGAACGAACAAAACAAAAACAAACTCATAGATACAGAGAACAAATCGATGGTTGCCAGATAGCAGGAGAGTTAGGGGGATGGGTGAAAAGAGAAAGGGATTAAGAAGCACAAACTGGTAGTTATGAAATAGTCATGGTGATTGATGTATAGTATAAGGAATATAGTCAATAATATTGTAATAACTAAGTATGATGTCAGATGGGTACTGGGTTTATTGGGGTGATCACTTTGTAAGTTATATAAACATCTAATGTTGTACACATGAAATTAATATATTGTATGTCAAATATTTTTAAAAATAAAGAAATTTGATAATCTAAACCAAAAGTAAAAAGAAAAAAGAGAGAGAGAATCAGTGTGAGTGTTCCTATGAGAGTAGAGAGTAAGGAGTTCTAAGTAAGGGAACAGTTCAATAATTAACTTGTTTCTACAAATCTGAGCAAGTGTTTCCTAGAAGTCAGTAAAACTAATATCCAGAAGGCTGTGGGATACCTGTCCTTTTTTCTCTAAATCAGGACACAGAGGCATAGAGCCCTTAGCCTTTGAGCCTGGAAACATGGACATGTGACCAGCTATGAAGAGGAAATCCCAGCTGACCTTTACACTGATATTACAGGAATACGCCCCCAGATCCATCTGCCTCTTCCCCAGGCTTCAGAAATCCCACTACAGGGAGTGAAATAGGCGAAGGGATTAAGAGGTAGAAATTGGCAGTTGCAAAACAGTCACGGGGATGAGATGTATAGTATAAGGAATATAGTCAATAATATTGTAATAACTAAGTATGATGTCAGATGGGTACTGGGTTTATTGGGGTGATCACTTTGTAAGTTATATAAACATCTAATGTTGTACACATGAAATTAATATATTGTATGTCAAATATTTTTAAAAATAAAGAAATTTGATAATCTAAACCAAAAGTAAAAAGAAAAAAGAGAGAGAGAATCAGTGTGAGTGTTCCTATGAGAGTAGAGAGTAAGGAGTTCTAAGTAAGGGAACAGTTCAATAATTAACTTGTTTCTACAAATCTGAGCAAGTGTTTCCTAGAAGTCAGTAAAACTAATATCCAGAAGGCTGTGGGATACCTGTCCTTTTTTCTCTAAATCAGGACACAGAGGCATAGAGCCCTTAGCCTTTGAGCCTGGAAACATGGACATGTGACCAGCTATGAAGAGGAAATCCCAGCTGACCTTTACACTGATATTACAGGTCACTTGCTCACAATCCTAAAGCAGAACAGTAGTGAACTACAGTCTAATAGATTCCTTTCAATGGGCTTCACATAAAACTCTAATTTCTTTTAAGGTTTTAGTATCGGGTGGCTGTCTTCAAATTTGGAGATACAGAGTTTTGTTTTGTTTTGTTTTGTTTTTCAACAATTCAGTAGGAAAATGCATCCATGTGTCACCCCAAATCCAAGTACACTGCTTCTTCTCTATAGTAGGCTGCTCCTAATGAACAACAAGAGGAGACCTGGAGCCTCAGCACAGAAAGCAGAGACCCCAGTGACAGACACCTTGAAGATCTTATGAATCTAGAAAGACCAGAGCAGGGAACTCAGTCCTCAGAAGCTTCTCTGCAAAGACGGTACTTCACTCTCTGGGAAGAAGAAAAAGTAAACTTACTCAGTGCCCCCAGGAATGCAATCAGTCTAAGCCTACTTACCAATCTCATTAAGCCTACCCTGGCCATATATAAGCTAAAATAACATGTAGTTTCTTGGATTAGTTGCATTGCTCTTACCTTATGCAATTGAAAACTTGAATCTAAGAGATGTTTTTACTAATAATGGCTTATCTGATATTTTTATATCTCTATTTTGTTAAAGCCTTACCAAGAGTAGTGACTTGGCACTTATCATTTTAGGTATCAAACAACACTTGTGACATTTGTGTCAATATAACAGAAACAGAATCTAACCTAGCTTTGGTGTTTATAGCCATATGAAATATGAAAGAAAACATGGTGAATATAGATAGGCAGAAAAAATGTCTTCCCAACCCATGATAACCTACATTCATAAATGTGCTGTAGATGAATAATCTTTTAAAAATCAAAACTTCAGTTTAGTAAGAATTTAAGTGTGTATTAAAAGAACATCACAATACCAAACCCCTTAAAAAGAGCAATGAAGGCAGTTCAGATATAAAGAAAAAAAGCAAAGAGACTACTTCTGGAATTGTATAGGGCTGGTAGAGATGATGTATAATGCCTGTCATCATGTAGTACCATGGCTGGGCTTAAAGGTATGAGACTAGAGAGGAACTCTTTGTATAATAAAAATTAATTGTCAAAATACCAGCTCCATCTGAAACAGAAGTAGGCTAACAATTCATTAATTGCCTGTTAAGGTTGCTCTTATGAGCTTTTTGTGACTCTATACCTTGCTACATGTTTCTATGAAAGTACTGACCTGAGCCTAGGCAAAGCAAAATGTAAGACTCTAAATCCCACACAGAGTTGTGGAAATTCAAACACATTATCATGTATAGATAAATTCAAAGTACCTATGATTAGGGGTGAATGATGAATTTGCAAATTGGTTTTCCTTGCTTCTGAAATTGTCTCCAAGATTTTCAAAATAAAATGAGTGAACAATTTTAGAATAGAGACATATATCCTTAGTTCAAAACAGATCAGATTAATTAAAAAATAAATAAATAAAATACAGAAAGATTCCAGTCAAAATGGCATAGAAGGTA